GGATTGATACGTTTTTGACGAAAGTCATTGTGTCGTAGGCAACCCATTTTATACGATATGAAGTAAATTTTTCATCCAATCAAATACAGTGTTACAACCAGAATTAAATTATTTACAATTACAGTCAAAATATGAAAATGGGAGTGCTGTCATAATTCAAGAAAGATTTAAAATAAATGAGAAAATTAAAATACTCTTAATGGATTTTCAATTCACAATCATTAAATGGATCTTTATAAACTGTTTAAATGCAAGATCTATCATGTATAATGCAATTACAACTAGACAACCACTTTAACTCAATGTGATAAAAATCATCAGTGTACATTAATATTTATCATGTTGATATATATATATGAGTCTAAAATATACTGAACTGCACTGAAATGCATATGTTGATGGCCTCATATCTCTTTTCCCCTTAGACCTTTCCCTCCTTTGCTCCGTGGGGATATAATTGCTTGTCGTACATATATCTGTCACAAAAATTAGGCCCTGATTTAAATTTGCAGCCCTTCACCGGCAATGTTCTCCATATCAGTGAAATATATACAGATCAACTTTCAAATTGATATATCAGGTTAACAATAGATGATTCATCATAACATTAGAAATTTGATTTACTCAAACAATAGAATCTTGGAAAGTCCCATCAAAATTCAGAAAAATGGCGGACTGTTACATACGATGATTTTTGAGCATATAACCCATAATTACACAATATTTTCTCATCCAGTAAAGCATTACATGAAATTCAAGCTATAAACTGAAAGGTAAAATTATCTATATGTGTATAACATTGTAAGTATACTATACTCCAACGTAAGATAAAATTTTGTGAAGTTCGGGACTGCGCAATGCCAATTTCGTTACCTGTTTCTCACAAATTCAGAAGTAACTTCCATTTTACACAGATTTATAACTATCAATGTAGAAAATAATTATTTTAATAGAATTGGGTCATACATTAGAATGAAATTTTAACAGAAATCATACAATTTATTGATTTCAAATTAAACTTATAAAATTGATAATAAATAATAATTTAACCATCAATTATATCATCACACATATTCTTTATTATTTACACAGGCAATTTTGGCTCCATTTTACATGTTGAAAATATCTATTTTTCATTTTATTTTTTAACAGAAAATTCCGATTGAAATTATGTAAATAGATTTGAAAAATTTAATTTATTACGAAAAATATATAATACATTGTTTTTGTTTGTTTTACTGCACCCCAATTTATCTATCTGGGGCAGCCAGGCAAACACTCTAAGGATATGGCCAGTGCGTCAAATCGTGGCATTAAGGGGTAAAGAGATATAATGACATATATCTCCAAAAATTAGATTTAATACAGAGTTTAGCATATATGTTCATATACCCATGCACAGCTTAACAGTGTATTTGAAATATCATGATTGTTGATTAAAACATGGGAACATAGATATTTAAAATAAACTGATAACTTAATGGCCTGCAAAAAAATCAATGGAGCTAACTAAATAATATTCAATGTTATCTCCGGAAAGTTAACACAAATTAAGGCCCCACATCAAGTGCTTGACACATTGGCTGCCAGAAATTTTCGTGACCTCTGGTAAAATCTGCCATTTAATTCATTGTCAACAACTTCCATAGAACTCCATGCCTTTGCAATCATCTGATAAGCCTTATATAGATCCTAAATTAAACATGTTAAACAAGCGGGTATGGATATATGTTGAACTTGATATAAATAAAATATTATTGTGTATTTTGAAATCTTCATAACCGAATAACCTGTTTTCTTTAGATGTGGTGGGGGCTAATGAACTGCACTTCTTTATAATTATTCAACTGTCTTAATATTTAAATGAACTGTTACTTACAATATAAAAAATACAGTATATGCACATACACTAAATAATGTCTAGGATTTTTATTATTGAAGTTACTACAATTTGGCTTTAATAATTCAATCAAAATGATATATTACATACAGCCCTGTATACAATAATTTATGTTATGCATGTACATGAAAATTAGTGGGTTTTTTTTCATTAAATAAATATTTTTTTCATTTACGTTTAACATGATAACAACTTGTACAACTTTTTTTAAAGAACTTAATTGCATTAACTTTTGAATGTGCTAGAAAAGGAGAAAAGTTGCATATAATTCTGAGTGTTTTAAAAAAAGCAAATTATATATTAGAATATATTTCTAATTATAAATCTGTCAAAAGTAAGTGTAACAGAGATGAGTTTGTGCTGCTAAAAAAATTTGAACCCTGGACCATTGCATGCCAGTTCATGCAGTACTCTTAGTCTCTTACAAACATTTGCTACACTAGTACAGGGTTAGGATAACTTGCTTGCCCAAACTAAAGTATTTCACTGTGATACATGGAGACTGCCTAGCTGGTCCTTTGGATGAGAGCGTATAAACCGAGGTCCTGTGTCGCAGTATGTGCTGGCATGAAAAAGATCCCTCCCTGCTCAATGGCCCTAAGTGCCGAGATAAGAACAAAATTTGCAGCTCTCCACTGGCAAGTGGTTGCATCTCCATATGAGTGAAAAATTCTCAAGAAGGACGTTTAAGAAGAAACAAAAAAAAAAACTCAGGTGAGATGTTACGTACTGTACTATCGGATCCCCCCACCAACCCGCTCCATACTGACAGAATGAGATGTCCGTTTTTTTTAAGTGCCAGTCCACCTGTGGGGTGAAATTCTGGATGTTATTCCCTTCACATACTAGAAAATACCTGGGGCCCCAAACCTGACACCAATTACATGTACATAAGAGAGACACATTTTTTGCCTTTGCAAGAGATTGAACCAGCTGAGAACTCTGGAATGCCAAGTCAGACAGTGCTCTAGATTATAGCTAAAGGGTTAACATGCTATCCCAAACTCATAAGATTTCATGGATCTTACCCTACCACACAGCTCATATTACATTCAGATTTAAAAATTGAGAAAAGGTGACTTCAGGTGTAAAATTTATATACAGCTTTAAAAAAAATTCAGTATTATATATTACACGTATTTACATTATTTCATGATTAACTCATAAAACTGGTTAAATTTTTAATGAAGATTTTAAAAAAATCAATGAAAAATATATTCAAGCTCATCAGAATTATTTATTCATAAATCATTTTTAATGTTAAAATAATCAATTAGGCTACACGAATAAAAAAAATGAATTTTTATATTAATTTGAATTTAATAACCTGTACGAAACAGTCCGGGCGGCTTAGACACGGCTCAGACACGGATTCCGTCTCCTGAAACCCGTGCTTTAGCATTCCGTGCTCCTATGTAAAGCATGTATGGAAAGCCGTGCCTAAAAGTGGTCGAACGGACACGGCATATATATGAGATCACACGGTTTTACAAAACCCGTGTCATCAAACCCGTGTCTGAAACCCGTGTCCTTTTCCATATATGGAGACACGTTTTTTTTTAAACCCGTGTCATATAATATAAGGAGTTTCTAGGTCATGGCCTTCAGAGAATCTCCTGATGTAACTGTGAATGCCAAAATGGTGAATTTACTTCACATTGCTTTACATTTATGCTTTAAGTTTTAGAATTTCAAAAGTTAAAAATCTTATATGAATATGTACATTTAGTTTCTGTTAAAGATTAAATTTATCATTACAATCCATGCTATTTTTAATTAATATTTTAATGATAATGTACATTTCAATTGTAATTTAATCTAAAAATCTGATTTAAATTTTCACTCTATATAGACAGTGATGTCACATAAAATATATATAAAGGATTAGTGAAAGTCCAATTAAAGTCATTCAAATAAGCCTAAACTATTTCATCATGTTCATTGTCAACATTGCAATACAGGAAGATCATGAAAATTGAAAAATTCACTTATTTATTCTAGATTACACTTATTTAGTTCAAAAGTGAAGAAATTATCCCAGACTTAAATACAATTCCAATTGACATTTATTAGTTAAATATCCTTTAAATAGAGCAAAAAGACACATTGACTTAGCTCATGACCATGAATCCCTCCAAAATAAAATATTATGATTGAGCATGCTCAGTAAAAAGCCGTGAGATATAAATAAATAGTTTGAAGCAAAACCCGCCTGAGTTAAAAACCGTCTCCCTAAGACGGGTTTCTATGAGTGAGGATTTCACTTTCAGACACGGAAGCCGTGTCCGTGTCTTGGACATGCAGAACCCGTGCGGCTTTTTAAAAACCCGTGCGGATTCCGTGTCTTAGCCGTGCCCAAGCCGTGCCTATTCCGCCTCGAACTTTCGTACGGGAAAATATGAATTGGATAAAAATTCAATATAATTTAAATTCCAGAGCATGTACATGATATGTTGATTGAGAGAATCCTCATAAGCAACGGGTCAATAAACATATAAAAGTGAAAATGAATGTTTCCATCATGATCAAGTGTTAATATTACATTTCTGCAAAATGACATACGTTTTTCTGTTTAAATTTTGATCTATCGGTATTCTTAAAGCATCATTACATTATTCCTTTCTTATATTACCTTTTTAAAAATAAAATATTAATGAATTCGTCAACTACTATGATCCTATTCTTTTTATACACACTAAAAGTCATAAGAGTATGCTCCCTTTAAAGAGCATTTTTTCGGAGAAATAACAAATTTTAACTCAAAGAGTGGATTTTCACATGTAAAAATTCCTCTGTTCAACGTTTACCTTACCTTCATGTCGCCAATTAACTGTTTCATCAGAAAGATTTTTCCTTTTAGTAAACTGACTATTGACAAGTGAAAACATCGCTTTCTTTCGCACCATCTCCATGTAAACTAAAAATTTCCGGAAGGAAGTGCGAGAATTCTTGATTTCTATTTTTACAAAACGGAAACAAAGTAGGCCCCGTTCATGCAAAAAAAATCTGACCAATCAAACAAAGCCAAGTTGGATGAACTCGGTTTTAACTTGTGATTATTTGATTGGTCAATTTATGGATCGTGTTGAACTTTCATTGGTGTATTTCGATATAAGGGAATTCCCTCACAGCAAGGCAGTGCGACGTGCAGACAGCCATTTTCTTGTGTTTTGACGTTTTGACAGGACTTCAGCCAACATCATAAACAAAATATCAAGTGTACAGGAGAATGAGGTGGAAAACCTTCTATCTAGGACTGCTTTGTGTGTTTGTGCTGTCTGGTAAGTGGTAATGCAGTCGATCTTTTAGGTCATTCTTGCAAGACGCATGGCGTTCCTCTCCAACGTGCGCCGGTGCCAAGAAACTGATCCTTGTAATATGATAATCTCATATAAGCACGACATTTAGTCATACAGGCATGATGTCTTAACTTCATATTTTAGCTTGCTTCAGAATGAATGACATTAGAATTGGAACAAATTCTGTTTTTCTCTAGTTTTGTTAAAGGGGGGGGGGGGGGGGGGGGTGTTACACACGCCCATGCTCGTCTCGCCTAAAAATGATATTTTGCTATTTGTCACATCAGAAAACATTTCACATTCTACAATTCTATATAGTAGGTAATGAATTCAAGTAATGGAGTTATGAAAGATGCTTGCAGTACTGCACACAGCATCAAGGTTATTCTCAAAGAGAAAGTAGGCCTTTAATCAACAGAACCTGTGTGTATCTACGCATCAGTTATTTCCATGTATCCTCTCAATGTCACGTCTTGCCTTTTAGGTCTGTGTTATGCAGCTGATGAAGAAGGTGAAGTGAAAGTAGAGGATGACATTGGCAAGAGTCGTGATGCTTCCAGAACTGATGACGAAACCGTCCAGAGGTAAATAGAATTGATGCAGTGATATCACACACAAACTGGAGGAGGTGCCATTTTTAACTTCTTGGCACAATGACAAGCACTTGCAAATCTAATTAGATGCACACCTGTCTGCAGATTTATTTTCCTAAATTGAAACAGAAGTGGCAATCTGCCTCTACATGGTTGTCAATAGAAGGGAACATATGAAAGGCTGTAAGGGGTATGGGGTTCCTCTACTAATTTAAGGGGGGTGATGGGTAATATAGCAAAGTGATATAGATGGAGAAATTCCCTGGCCTATCGGTCTCAGGGACAACATTGCACTAATAAAACATGGTGTTTGCTAGAACTTAACTTTGAAAATGTTTTATAAATATTATAGAAATTAAGACAGGTCCTGTTGCAAAAGAATGTAAACTTTTCATCATTGTGTAGTGAGTCTGTCCAAAGTTACAGCATGGAAAGGAGAAGACATGTGCAGTAACATTCAATGCACATAAATCCAAATTGTCACAAGATTGGAAGGTTTCCACAGTAGACTGTACAAATACACATGTGTAGTCTGTGCTTAATTATAATACAAGTAGACATAGTGTTCTCAACATTCTCTGTCTCTCTTTGGTAAAGAAGCATGGATCATTGGTTTGTTAGATCGTTGGTTATATAGTAAATAGTTTTTCCTTCAGTCCTTGATTTGCTTATCAAAATAAAGAAATAATAGCAGGTCTTGAATGAAGAGTTTACAGACAAAGGCACAAATGAATTATAGGTAATCATCTTGACCAGGAAGGCTTGTTTCTTCTGTCTGATTATTTCTGGAACCAATACACTGTTTATATGTTAATCTATAACTATCAAGTCAAATCAGACAATATACTTATATGATATATGACTTGTATTACCGGTAAAATTTTTTCGGTTGGTAAAAAATTTCATATACAGGACCAAATGTTATTTACAAAAATTATGGCCAAAATAAATCTAATTATTAAGAGGTATGATGGTCCAGTTCCCCACAAATATCCTTTATTGACCAATTTAGCAGTAATACCTGATTAATTTTTATGTATTACAACCCTGTCATGATCGTTTTTATTCTAATTTGAATTTCCTCTGTCAAGAAATAGAGCTCTTTAGATAGCCCATACGTAGATTTGGTTGGGAAAATATTTAGATAGCTCATACGTAGATTCGGTTGGGAATTTTTTTAAAATGATTATTGAACATGAGAAACAATAATGAGTTGTTTCTGGGCTTTTAAAAAACAAATGCAAAAAGTGCATATTAGATTTAAGAAAATATTTGATCAGTGTTGTTGTATAAGTTAAATTTGAAGGAATAAATGTGCAATTGTATTTAAATGATACCTTTTACAAAGGAAAATTATATATATACCAATAACTGTGATCCATTTCAGCCAAAAATTTAAGGTTAAATTTCACAGTAAACTTTAAAATTAACCCTTTTCATTCAGTATCAGCATGATGTAGAGATTTATATAATATATATCAAAAAGTCATCTTAAAAAATTGCTTGGTCTGGAAAAATTTTATTCTTACCAGTTTTGTTTGATAAAAATTTTTAACTCTTTAGTTACTGCTATCACAAGAGAGCAATTTTATTGTAATATATATACATGTATGACTTGTATTTAAATTAAAAATGATTTTTCTGTTGTATTGAATAAGATTGCATCTGGAAATTCATCTAGAAACAGTTATTTACAATAGCATATTAAGATCAATCATTTTTATAATAAATAGGATTATGTGCATTATGTAAGTGCTGTTGTATGAGCATGATGAGTTGACCCATTAAACACACATCACATCAAGAAAAGTGTTATTTTGTATTTCATGGTGTGTAATATTGATGTCAATATTCCTGCTATTTATAAGGAATACAATTACCCACCACATGATTATGAATGGCTCTGATAATGATAAGAGGACTATCTTTAATCAGACAAGAGCAGAATTTGATGGCTTGCTGTTGATGCAGAAAGTGTTTCCTATGTGTGATTTCTGTCTGGAAAAAAAATATATAAAGAGGAGAATGGCAATTTTTGCTTACATCTGCGAGTTAGCAGCTCTTGATGTTCTGTGGCTTTTATCTCATAAAACAAATGAAAAACAGGTGGCCATTGTCTGTCAACTGGAAGATGTGTTATCTTAGGCCATTGTTGGTACAAGGATGTAGGTCTTAAGTGCAATATATGTGCACATCCTTAAATTCTAAATGGAATTGAATTTTTCCAAGTGAAATTTGATGAATTTCACCAATAAATGTGATCGTGGTGATTACAGCCAAAAATTAAGGAATAATTTCTGCATAAACTTTAACATTAAGTTTTCATTTCTTTTATCAGAAGTGTTGTTGCAGATTGAATCTATATAATATATATCAATTTCCAGTAAGTCATCAGCTTATCAACTTGTCAGATCAATATGAAGAATTTTTGGAGGCCCCTGTTGAAGTGTTCTAGTTTGATATCTGTAGCATCTGTTTCTCTTTTGTTACTTCATTACAGAGAGTTTTTATTGTATTATATATGATAAGGCCCATACATGAAGACAGATATTCGATGAGGGTAAAGGTGGGGAGATTTGAACTTCAGTCTCATGCGCCTGCACCAGTATCTCCAGGATATCCATAACATTATCAAATGAGTATCATGTAAAGTCAGATTGGATTGTTCATACATTGTGTGATGTATGCTAGCTGTCAGAGAAAGGAAACCACCTGTATCTTAGATTGGTACAGCACACAACAGACAAACTTGTGTTATACACACATCACATGCCCAAGATAAAGATTTATTTTGTTTATATTATGGTGTGTAATTATTGTAAGTGATATATTCCTGCTCATATTAAAACTACACCCCACCCCCCACCCCCCCTTTACAGCTCTCATCAATCATTTAAGAATATCTATCATATCAACACCATGATCATGTACTTATCATGCTTATAGTTACATAATTCTAAAAATTTTGTGAAATGTGAATAATATGCATGTCCCAAAATCCTGCAATGATGGAGTCATTGAAATGGAATTTTTCATCCTTTCTTGCAGGCAGTGTAAAACAGTTGTTTATTGGCGCACATATTGGCTAAAGTGAAAGAGAGTAGAACATTAGATTTACACATTCTTATTAGATAATATATTCCAGTATTTCTTGACAAAGAAATATGCCGGTCAAGAAAATGTTTGTGTGATGTCAGGGTTCATAAGAGACTTGATCTGCTTTAAAATTGTAGAAGCAAACAAACACATAACAAGTATACATCATGCTGACTTCAACAAGTACACTTGCCTATATAGAGATTAAGAGAGATGCCAGATTTTATCCAGATTATTCCACTGTTTGACTCCCACCTGGTAATTGAGATGTGATGAGTTTTTGTTCATGGTTTATGTGTGGGGGAGAATTGCAGGTGCCATATGCTTGATTGATGGACAAACATTATGTTTGAAAAATATATAAATATTGATTGCAAGAACATGTACTTGCTTAATTGGAAAGAATTTGATGTATGTTATAAATTGTAAATAGGATAATTGCAGGCACTGAATATGATCAGAAGGATAGCATTAGAACATATTTTTGATAAAAATTTTGTTCCAAAAAATCTAAGAGATGCACATGCCTCACCTCTCTTAAAAATGTGGCACTTTAAAAAGAGGTTTACAAGATTTGTGTCACATCTGATCAGAATATTTATAAAGTTATACATGTATTAGATTAAAATTAAAAGCAAATCAAATGCTTAATATTTTATTTTTTTAAAAATGTTTGGGGAGAAAAAAATGCTAGAAATCTAGGTAACAATTTTTTTTCATTTCAGAGAGGAGGAAGCCATTAAGTTGGATGGACTGAATGTTGCTCAAATGAAGGAACTCCGGGATAAGGCGGAGAAACATGCATTCCAGGCGGAGGTCAACCGCATGATGAAGCTCATTATCAACTCCCTGTACAAGAACAAAGAGGTACCATTAACTTATATACAAAATCAAAGAGGTACCATTATACAAGAACAAAGAGGTACCTATAACTTTTATGAAATCATAAAGGTACCGTTATAATACAAAAACAAAGAGATATCTTTTAGTTTATAAATACAAAACATTTAGGTACCATTAATTTAGATAATATGTCCAAAAAACATAAATGTTTCATGTTAAAAAACAAAGAGGTTTTTATTTACAAAAACAAAGAGGTACCTTATTTGAGTTAAAAAAGAAAAAAAACAAGACTGTACAAATATGGAAACTTAACTGTTAACAAATTCTATAACAAAGAACAAATTCATACTCTCTTCTTATACTGTAATTCTCTCATTTTAACTTGCAAGTTAACAAATTCCTTAACAAGTTAGCAAAAATTTGTAATGAAAATTTCATTTTGTATTTCAGATTTTCCTGAGAGAGTTGATTTCCAATGCCTCTGATGCCCTGGATAAGATTCGCTTCTTGTCACTGACAGACAAATCAGCACTAGCCGCAACGGAGGAACTGAGTATCAAAATCAAGGTATGTATTTAAAAACTTTGCTCATAAATAATATACCCAACCATTTCTTTCTATAGTTATGTTAGTGTACACAAAAACAAGATTAAGGTGGAATGACCCCTCTGCTTAAGGAGGAATGGCTATGTGTAAAGGGAGACAATTTTTTAATCCATTCCTTTATTCCATTAGAAAGAGGGGGTTCGGGGACAGGTTGAATAATAAGAATATCACTGGCAACTGTTTACATTCCTGAGAGGGGATATGCAAAAAACTGTCACAAGTACACTTAAACCATATTCTTTTACGCAAGTTTCTTCTGGGAGCATGTTATTTTGATTACTAAATAGAACTTTGAAATAGATGTTTGGCACAGTGATAAAGCAAAGCACAATTCATTAACTTCATTACACAACAAGATACACTGTTTTCCTAAAAGAGGCCTGCGGGTGTTTAGGTTCACTTAATGTGTAAACAAACCTTACTGTTCATCAAATACATTAGCCTTTTGTTGCCAGTCTGAAATATTTATACAAACTCACACAGCTCTCATTCTGTGTATTTGCTCAAACATCATTGTTTACAACAAGTGAACAGCTTTATTATAATACAGGAAGACAACTTGAAGAATTTGATGGGGATATCAAATTTCTGGGTTGTATTTTGTTATAATAAAGTCTCCTTTTCATTCAATCATAAATATACACAGGGTCACCAGAAATGACTGTGTATCATATTGTTCGCAGAGGCTGCAAAAGTTCAAAGTATAAAGAAAGCTGTATATAATGTGTATGATTATTTAGATAAACAACATCCTCCTCATAATGTTAATGTCAAGATTCATGTGGTATTATGTAAGAGTACAAAGTCAGGTGTATCAGATTGAAAATTAGACTGTTTCGATGCTTTCTTTTTTTGAAGTAATGCATATTTGAAGCCAAAGAATATATTCAAAAATTTCCAAATGACAGATTTAAAGAGTATACTTTGGTAATATTCTAAATTAAATTATGCAGCTGATTTGATAGATGAAACATTGTTATTGTATGTCGTAACTGCTGATTTTGTTTTGAGACGGTCCCCTATTGTTACATCTGAGGAGAAGCTGGTAGACCTGAAGGCAGGTAGCATGCCAGAGACTTTATTAATAGAGCAGTTATAAGGAGATGAGATAATTTATTTTGACAATAACACAATTTCTTTCTATGCAGTTGCTTTAGAGATACATTGCTCTGTTGGTAATCATCAGAGTTAAAATTATTGTTGAGATAAAATGCAAATTATTTTTAAGTAAGATTCAAGAAGCTTAAAAAAAATTGCAGATGTCAAGAGTTGTTGATCAGTGAAATATTTCAGAGTATTAATAATAAGGTAGCATATTTATGAATCCTTGAACAGTGGGGAATTTGATCATGGTTTTGCAATACTTATGCCTAGATTCTAATTAAATTGAGCTGTTTACGATGCAAGTGTTCTATAGCTGCAATGGGGAGTCGAAAGATTTCCACATCTGTTGGCAATAGAGGGGAACAAAAAATAGAAATAATTGTAGATACAGAGATTAGGAAAAGAGCGTTTTACCTGCAGCATACTGCACACTTCTAATGACTGAGTAAATAAAGTCACCACTGTGATATTCCAATGACTTATAAAGATGAAAGCAGGTTGAAGATACTTTGAAATGGCAAAAAAAAATCCTTGGAATCAATGTCAGAGATGAACTAGCTTTGATTTCTAGATGTCAAAATGAATTACTGTAGATTCCCAAACAAGATTTGTAGTACAGCGTACTATCATCTGTAAATGTATAAGTGTATAATGTTATATAATTAACGTAGAGGTAGGAAAGAAAAATTGTAGAACAATTTACAGTTAAAATGAAAAATCCTGTTTCTTATAATTTACCACTTAATTCAGTTCTCCTCCTCCCTATACATATAGCTACCAAACCCAATTGCTCAATAATTTTAAAAGGTGTATACAATTTCCATATATGTATAGATCATATTCATTGTACTTCTGCATTGAACTAAATCAGCTGCAATTAACAGAATAGTATTTAGAACACTTTGAAACTGGTAAAGGTGAGATTTTTATGTGATCCTTAATAATTTTTCTCAAATTTTTTTCTTTAAATTTCAGGCTGACAAAGAGAATCATGTCCTACACGTCACAGACACAGGAATCGGTATGACCCACAATGATCTGGTTAACAACCTGGGTACCATTGCCAGATCCGGTACCAGCGAGTTCCTGACCAAACTCGGAGAGGCGGAGTCACAGACGGAGATGTCCGATCTTATTGGACAATTTGGTGTCGGGTTCTACTCTTCTTTCCTTGGTAAGATATGCCTTCATTTCCATAAACAAATTGGTCTGTGTTAATGAAAGATGTTCAGTGTTTGATGAAGAATAGCAGAAATTCATTTAATCTGCCACATTTTACTGTACAGCATTTGATATTTGGTTATTAAAAACAAATAGTGGTGATAGATAGCTTAATTATGATGAAATAGTTAATGGATATTAACATACTTGAATGCCTTGTGGTACATTTATTTGATCATCATCAGTAATAACATTTACTTTTTGGTCCTGATGGTAAACATGTGATTATTTGACAATTGAGGAAAATTATAAATTGGGCTATTACAATAAATTATAAAGAAATGGATAAAATATTCAGTATGCACCTGTTTCAATCATGTTTATCATGTGTTAATGTTTTAGATCTAACTCTGAAAGATAATCAGAATTTTTTGTCACTTTTAATAATCTGAATTAAATATTCAATATGCACCTGTGAATTAATGTTTGTCATCCAAGTTTGAAAATTATTGACACTTTTCTGCCTAACAGTTGCTGATCGCGTCATTGTAACATCTAAAAACAACGACGATGAGCAGTATGTCTGGGAGTCGGACTCTGAAAGCTTCGCTGTTGCTAAGGATCCCCGCGGTAACACTTTGGGCAGAGGAACAACAATCAGGTATTGAGGTCACATAGCATCTAGTGGACTTTTTTCTTTATTTCTTAAAAAAAAAATCATTCTAAATAAGTAAGCATAGTACTGCTGTATAGTCTCTGAATTTTTGGCAGGGAAACAATTTCTATATCATGGATAAAAGATGACTGTTCTCAAATTGAATCTCATTGTTGTTTTGTTATCTTTTGCAGTCTTCATCTGAAGGAAGAAGCACATGACTTCTTGGAAGAGAACACACTGAAGGAGCTTGTCAAGAAATATTCCCAGTTTATTAACTTCCCCATCTACATCTGGGCCAGCAAGGTACATCAAACAGTTCATATGTTCTTTTGATGGATATTGATTGCTTGAAAATAATTCTCTAGTGGCATTCCTGATTTTTTATGTCTTCATTTGACTCTCGTGTTTTAATAAGGAGGAATAATTGATTCTGTGCTTACAAATTGCAAACTAAAGATTTTTTTCCCTTAAAAAAGTGCATGAAAATAAGTTTTTTTCCTCTCTGTGCTTACATACCAAGTACTTAAATTAACCTGAATATTTCACCTGTGTACTTACTTCACTTTACCTGACCAATGATTTTCGATTTAATCCTTAGACTGAGGAAGTTGAGGAGCCTATTGAGGAGGAGGAGGAAACCAAGGAGGAGGCAGCTAAGGATGAGGACAAGGAGGAGGATGAGGAAGGAAAGGTAGAGGAGGAGAAGGAGGAGGACAAACCCAAGACAAAGAAAGTGACCAAGACTGTGTGGGACTGGGAGCTGATGAACAGCGTCAAACCAATCTGGACCAGAAAGTAAGGAACTGTTTAAATCTTTTAGTTTTGTCAGGCATTTGACATTATTTGGTGCCACTGTCTTAATTCATTCTGTCCGACATTTGACGTTTATTACTTTGACTCCCAGAGTGAGCCTTATTATCATGATTGTACAAAAAGAATCGTGAAAAAGCAGCTTCCTTTAGTATTGGTGTCATTGTGCAGTGGTTTCAACCATAAAATTTCCACTGAAAATACACAACACAGTATACTGATTAGAATAGCAAATTGAATATAAAGTAATAGTGCTTTATTAACAGAAACATCTTTATAAAATTTTTGTCATCGACGTTTATAGATCTGATGATGTGACAGATGAGGAGTACAATGAGTTCTTTAAGTCCATCAGTAAGGAGAGTGAGCCTCCCCTGGCCAGGACCCACTTCACAGCCGAAGGAGAGGTCACCTTCAAGTCCATCCTGTACGTCCCTAAGTCCTCACCCCACGACATGTTCTCCAACTATGGCAAGAAAATGGAATCCATCAAGGTGGGTTACATATGAAATGATACCAATTGTGATGATTTGCAGGTACATTGTAATAAAGAATGCTTGATGTGGACTCTCTTATATTCTCTTTTATCTTACAAGTGTTCTTTCCCATTGTAGATGTATGTCAGAAGAGTTTTCATCACTGATGACTTTGAGGATATGATGCCTAAATACCTCAGTTTTATTAGGGGAGTTGTAAGTAGATTTCTCTGAGTTTTTGCCTTTAAAACCACCTGTGTGTTATTCTTATGTGATTTTATAATCTCCACCATGAAAATATTGCTTTGCAAAATTTGAAAAATTAGTTTGTTTAGATTATTATCATTTGCCCTTGTTGAATTGCTTTTCTCAGGAAGTATTTGATTATACTGTAGGTTGACTCTGATGATCTTCCACTGAACGTTTCCCGTGAGACCCTCCAACAACACAAACTCCTGAAAGTCATCAAGAAGAAGCTGGTGAGGAAGACCCTGGACATGATCAAGAAGATCGGCAAGGACGACTACGAGAAGTTCTGGAAGGAGTACAGCACAAAGTATGTATAGAAATGTCACTGATCTAGTAGAAGAGTTTGAAAAAAAAATCTACTGTAAATTTCAATATCTAAATGCAAGCAGGTTATGAAAATCGAATGAACATTTGTAGAAATTTATGGAAACCAGTAATTGAAAACAGATCAGGCGAGAGAAATTTTAAGTCAACAATCTCTGTTGTCTAACAATTCTCCGTGGTTAAGAGTTACTGCCCTTTGACTGTAATTGTTAAGCATTCATACCATGCAGTGTAAAAATTTAACCCATGATCCCAGACTTTGAGTTCGATGGTGAACTACAAATGTTCTCATTGAAATTATGCTCTGGAAGATAAATGTTTGACAGCAGTCTACCATTGTCAAGATTTTATTTCTGTCAATGATGTATAGTTGTCTCACAATTCTACAAACTGTGATATTCAGTGTTACAAGCCTGTTAACATTCATTGGATAATCTTTGTTCCATACCCTATATGATTTGTTCTTCCTTTCAGCATTAAGTTGGGAGTTATTGAGGATCAGTCCAACAGGACCAGACTGGCTAAACTGCTCAGATTCTACTCCTCCAACTCAGAAACAGAACAGACCAGCCTGCCAGAATACATTGAGAGGATGAAGGAGAAGCAGGAGGCCATTTACTTCATCGCTGGAACCAGCAGGAGTGAGGTCAGAAACAAAAAAAAAATAATATCAATATTTAAAGGTTTGATTTGAATAATTGTGAAAAGCTCCCACTTTCATAAAATAAACTTGGTGTTTGCAGTTACTGTTGAGGTAAGGGAATAATATGTTTTTTGTTTTTTTTTTAAATTCAGGTTGAGAAATCTCCATTTGTGGAACGTTTGCTTAAGAAAGGCTATGAGGTGCTTTACCTTGTTGAACCTGTTGACGAATACTGCATCCAATCCCTCCCCGAGTTTGACAGCAAGAAATTCCAGAATGTTGCCAAAGAAGGCTTGAAGATTGACGATGACTCGGAAAAGACCAAGGAGCGCAAGGAAGCCATGGAGAAGGAATACGAACCACTGACCAAATGGCTGCAGGAATTGGACGCTCTTAAAGAGAAAATCAGCAAGGCCACTGTATCTGACCGCTTGACCACCTCTCCCTGCGCCCTGGTAGCCAGTACTTATGGATGGTCTGGAAACATGGAAAGAATCATGAGATCTCAGGCTTATGCCAAACAACAGGACCCCTCACAACAGTAAGTCCCCTCTCCCATGATTCATAATTTAAGTTTCCTGTTTAAAGCATTTCAAAAGTTATAAAATATCTTAGACATGATCAGGGCAATTTTCAGTCAAGTAGTTTTGGTTTTGTGTCATTTTGAATGTTTTTCTTTATTATAGATTTTACTCAACTCAGAAGAAAACATTAGAAATAAATCCCAGACATCCTCTAATCAAGGAATTAAAATCAAGGGTTGAGGTAGGTACTTTAAAAAAAAAAATGAATTCTGCAATGGTGCATCCTAATATTCTCTAAAAATTTTATTTAAAATCTGAAGAAAAAAGCCTTAGTGGCATTTGTATCACCCTTGAATTGTTATTATATATTTTGTGCAGGCGAATGCTGAAGACCAAATTGCCAAAGACCTGGCTGTAGTTATGTTTGAAACGGCCACTATTAGATCTGGATATGTCCTACAGGACACAGCTGGGTTTGCTGAAAGAGTTGAACACATGTTGAGGGAGGCCATGAACATTCCACAAGATGCCAAGGTAAGTCGTAAAGGTCATTCTTGATGTGTTTAAAGAATCTTATGATTTGAGGTATCAAGGGTAAAATTCTGAAAGGATAAGTTGGTGAGACTTGGTGGGAAACAAATTGGCATGTCCATAATATTCAAGATATCTGAAAGATACCACAGTGCAACTGTATCTTCTGTTTATGTCTTTATCCATAGTGAACCACCTGTTAAAAAAATGTGTTTGATTTTCTTGAAACCAACAAAAAGTCAAATACAGTCAGAAAATTTTTTGAAGGGGAGTTACTCTGGAATATTTGACAAAATATTTTAATAGTTATCCCTTTGCCATTTACTTTGATGAAATTTGACAATATTTTCTGTTTGTAGATTGAAGAAGAGCCAGAAGAAGAGGAGTCAGCTGAGGAAGAGAAGGCAGAAGAAGTTAGTGATGATGATGAAGGTGCCAGTGATGACGATGATGATAAGGTAAGATAAACTTCAGACACAGTCTTCTCACTGAGAAAAAGGTCTTGTTTTATGCTTTACCTTTCTAGAGTTATGGTTCTTGTTCTCTATATTCTGCATATATTGGATCTATTTTCTGAATGATATGACCTTTTACTGCGGAATTTGATGAGAATAAAGATTTTAAAATCGCTTCTTTATTTGGAAATTGAAAATAATAAATATTTTTATTGGATGTGAAGTAGAGTTTAAAATTTCAAGAAAGGAAAGAATTTTATAAAAACAGGATTGTGTGAAAATATAGAGAGCAAGTTAGTTAAATGAGATTTTGAAAAAAAAAGTTTTTGTTTTTGCATGATTGACAATGAGTGATGTTGACTTAGATCTTATATATCCCATCATTCCATTCAGCTTTGCCTGTGTTTGTTACCAACATTCACCTTCTAAAAAAAAAAATCAACAAAATTTTCAAATTTTTCAGCATGATTTTATTGTTTTGATGCATGATAGCTCCTCTTGGACAAATCATCATGCGTGGCTTATTGTGACAGCCCATAGAATAGAAGTCACTAAATTGTTCCATCACAGTAACTCATTAAAACACAACACAGGCGACGTAATATGGGATGATGGGAGAAAATTCTTTAAAATGAAAGTTTTATTTTGCTCTGAAAGTCACTCTTAGAAAATATGTTTTAATTATAAAGGACTTTTACTTGTCTGCAATGCATTTTAGGATACTTAGAAAAAATAAAATATGGTCCAAAGAAGGCCTAAAATTTGATTAAAGCATTTTTCTTATTTTCATAAGTTAAAAAGTAATTCAACAATTGAAAGTAGAGTCAGAGAGCTCAAATAAAAACAAAAAAATTTGTGCAATGATCTGTTGAATAATTTTGAGATTTCACTATAAGGAATAGAGAAGGAAAATTTAGCTGAATTTTCTCCCATCTGTTTATTTCAGAAATCAGAAGAAAAGAAAGATGAAGCCAAGGATGAATTATAACCCAGGATTCTCATAGCAATCATTTTTCACCACTCTCATTCATTTTCCACCCAGACAGACCAAAATGAATTTTAGTGCTATGTCTATGATGTCAAACTTTAAACAAGAATTCCATTTTTATGTGTTATGCAAAAAATCTTGCGACAATTTTTCACAAAGTTGTGATTGACTGAGAAAAGCAATACGTTGAAACATTCTCTCAAGAAGACTTTTCCATTTTCTGAATGTGTTATGTGATTAGATAATTTTTGTAAATTATATTTATGTGATACATGTATATGCGAGTGTGTGTGTACATATATGTTTCCATGTCTGAGCCGTTTGTTGATGGGTTATTTTGTACTTAGATACTTACAGAGTATGAATGTTAAGATTGAGTGTGTTTTTGTTGTTGTCAAACATGTTCATTCAACACACACTAACAGTTCTACCCCATACTGACCTGCATAATGATGCATCCATTGTTCTGATTTCATTTGGGAAGCTTTTCATGCAAAGGGACCATATTCTACTTATAGAAATCAAATAAATTAAGGAATAGCATTTAATGAAAAACTCCAAAGAAGTGCTGATAATTGTTTCAGTATCTCTGCTGTTAGGTGATATGATAGTGTGTGTATTGTGTACCTGCAGTAGGTCCAGATTCTCAGAGTCTATATTTTTCTTGTTTTTTGAATAAAAAACATTAAATATGATGTATGTTTGTTTAAATTTCTTGTCTTCTATCCAGAAATTTTGTGATGTGTCCCAGAAATTACGTGCAGGTTGGCGTTACATGTAACAGTTTTACTGACATTCTAGGCTATCTTTAAAAAATGGTTTGGTTGCCCTACTGTTTGACTAAAGTGGCTAGACTCAAAACTTTTTCTTCCATTCCAGGACACATTTTTTATTTCACTTGAGTTTACTCAGGTGATCTATTGCTGTATGTTCTTGTACGTTGTTTTGCGTCATGTGTTGACATTTTCAGCACTCATTTGCAACCACTCAGCGAATTTTGGCATAAAGCATCTACGGGTAAAGGGAAACAAAAATTATGACATTGATGGTCCCTGGCCTCTTACGGCCCGAGGGGTCGGGCAAAAACAACTTAAATTAATGCAATCCTTAAAAATCTTCTTTACTCCTGGACATCAAGCATTTAAACTGTTGGCATTAATGTAATCAGTATTAAGTCTTCTATCAAAATTATGAAGTTCATGGGCCAGGGTCAGTTGTTCTAGTGCTAGTGCAGGGCTAAATGGATCATATAGTGAAAATGCATTATTTCTAGGGAAATTTTTCTTCTCTGCTCCTGGGCATTAAATAAACTAACCAAGTACATAGTTAATTAAAATAAGGATGCCTCTTCCAAGATTGTGAAATTCATGGCCCCAGGGTCAGGGTTTCTTGTGCTAGGGCAGCGCTATGTAGATAATATAGTGATGCATTGATTCTTTAAAAATCTTGTCTGCTCCTGGGTATTAAATAAGCTAACCAAGTACACAAATAAGGGTGCTTCTTTCAAAATTGTGAATTTCATGACCCAACGGTCAGGCATTCTGGTGTTATGAGGCTCTTATGAATATTATATAGTGAAAATCCAAGAATTCTTTGAAGATCTTTTTCCTCTGCTCCTGGGTATTATGCCAATGATCTTGGTACATATTTATTATGAAGAAAGGCACCTCTTTCTAAATGGTTAATTTCAGGGCCCCAGGGTCAGGGGTACCGAGGGAGGGGGGGGGGGTACAAAGTCTGAAAATAATTAATGCTTTGAACCTGCTCTTCGGTATTAATCAACTATTTAAGATGAAATAAAAGAAGATGGGCGTATAAGGCGGGCAGAATGCCTATAGCGCGACAGATAAGAAGGGGAAAAAATTAATGTCAATTATATCCAAATTTTATGTCATATCTCATCTAATATTAAAGAATACTTAATGTAAAATTTCTATAATTTACAAAGATCTCACAAAAACTGAAAATATTTGCCCGTGAAAAAGCATACACAGACTTAAAAGAACAAAAACGATCATTTTTTCATACTTTAACAAAATTTTTCACTGTGAGTGGGTCTTCGCTCCATTTTTTTGAAAGATAATTCTAATAGTTTGCGATAAAATATATATTTTTTGGTTTACAAAAAAAAATGGAGGGAAGACCCACTATACCTTAAAAAAAACACTTTTATGACAAAACAATCGCATCTTTCCGAGAAATACTTCAAGTCCATTAAGTCAAAGGTCATATCACAAACATGATTTAAATGCCACTACAACACATGAGCCATGTAGCATAGTGGTTAGCGCGTTAGTCTCAAAGCAGTCTGAAACTTTGGTATTTTATTGCTGGGGTTCGAATCCCACGAATACCATATGAAAAATTTTTATGAATGAAATTTTTCAAAGAGAGTTATTTTTCTGAGAAAAAAAAAATTTCTCATAATTTCATAAATTTCAATAATGAGATGTAAATTTAAATACTCAATTTACATATCAAATGTGATTTCTTAATATCTGATGCTATAGGCATTCCGCCCGCCTTATCCGCCCATCTTCTTTATGATAAAATTTTGAAATATGTGGCCTCAGGGTCAGTGGTTCCTGTGGGTTGGGGTGCACAACAAGTTATAAAGTGAAAATACACTTATTTAATTGTTGGACAGTTGTTACATGATACTCGGGTGACCTACACATATAAGGGCTTCTTGTGGACTACTCATCGCATGAACAAAGATGTTGCAATTTTGTAGGAAAAAAGATTTTCCCACCTACTAACTGAATAATTGTCAGGAGAGAGCAAGCAAACAATATTTTAAACATATGAGACATGTCTGTGTCTTTCACAATATAGCAACTTCCTTGTTAGTAACGCCTTCCTTTGTTAGGAACAAAATCAGAGCAGGTTCCTTTTTTTCAGTTTTTGCTAATCTACACATCATTTTGTATACTTGTAATAAGGAAGAAGATGCAATGGTAATGAAATTTATAGCCTAGCTTTAGTGTAAATGTTCTCGTACATTGATGCCTATTTTTTCAAAAATGGGTAAAGATCTGCAGAAGCCTAAAAAGTTTCTCCATGATAATGATTTGTGATTGGTTTAATTAAAACAAGTGTAACTAAGATTTACCTCAAAAGTTCATTTCAACAGAAATCAGGCTCTGAGATGACTGTGCTTCAAGTTTTAGTTAATTGAAGATTCTTATTTCACTCGTCTTTTATAGTGATGAACATCAATGATATTCATAAGATACAGGTATTTAGAAAAAAGGAAAAAAACCTTCATAAAGTGTTCTGTTCAAAAGAAAAATAGCATGACTTTACCATCCCCCACCCCGATTTGCAAATGAAGTTGCTTGAAATGTATATGCTGATGATAAGACCTTGTTATCAAAAACAAAAGACATATAATTATAATTGAAAATGCCTGCAGACCATCCATCCCTGTCCCAAATGATAAAAATAAATACATTTATGATTTTAAATCAAGGAAATAATGGAAATGGTAAATTATGAAAATTGAACTCCTGTCTCTTGGCAAAAATGAAGTCCTTTGAATTTACGAAGTTAATCCTTTTTCAAAAAAATGTATTTTAAAAAAAATTAAGCTTCGTATTTTAACACTATTAAAATTAATATTTAAAACTATTGTGAAAATGAAGAATGTAGTCCTTTAATACTTTCAAACTCATGATATTTGGCTTAGTAACAGTGTTTTACCTAGTAAATGGAAGGCTAATTTTGTCCAAAGGTCACAACATTTAAATGCGCATGAATCTAATTTTCTATAAATATTTTATTTTAAACAAGCTCCATTTATTTTTCTGTAGATTTTTATTACATTTTTTATGGATGGCTTTAACCCGGAATTTAAACTAGATACATCTAGTTGAGGCATGTAATCGAAAGCCTTGTATTCATGTGTACAATCTTTACAAACCGTCTCAATCTTTTTTAAATAGTCTAATACAAAAGGTTATCTGAGATCACTTATGATTTACAAAACGTGTTATTTTTGGGGGGCAAAGATAACATTCAGCGAAACCCTACAACAGGGAAGTAGGAAAGATTTTTCTTCAAGTTATTTTTGTCCTTATAGAGCTGTTTTTAAATTCTATTAATTTCCTCTTGCACTTCGTCGAGCTACATGAGACAACTTGTTCATATATAATTGGGTAATTGTATTTTTTCTATCATACTTCAAAATGATGTTTTTCCCGGAAAATGTACTTCTCTCCCGGTAGAAAATCTTCTTAGATTTCTATGAATCTTGTAAAGTAGACACCAGGACATAATAATGTAAACAGACAACAAAATGCAAGTGACGTTCAAGAGGGTAGTACTTGTGTAATAATAAACTTGATATACAACAGGGTAAGCGACAGCGAGGTAATGTCCGTGTCATTGTTTAAAATGAAACCAGAATAAGGTCCTTCATTCCAGATATAGTATTGTGTGCTAGAAGATTGCTTTAAATTCATTATTTAAAGCATATTCAGTGTGCTAAGTACATAAGAAATGTACATAGTAAGAACAGAATCTCAAAAATCTAACCTTGTTTTTCAGTCTAAACATCTAACAGTCAAACTTGCCTGAATCAAAAATTAATTCAATACAATTAATTTAACAAAGGCTTCAGAAATCTTGATTTTATGGGCAGGGTGATCTGGGCATGTTGGAAAAGGAGAGTTATTGACGGTAAGATATCCCCTCCCCCATTCCCCATTTACTGTATAACATAGTATACATTTAACACGTAAATCAGTATCGTGTATCAAATACAGCTATATACATGTACCTGTAGTGTTTTCTATACGCAATGGACATGGAGTTTTGAATATCGATCAGATACTTGCAACATACAATATGTAGCTTTAGTTTTCAAATGGACAAGCCCGTTGAAATGAGAAGATTTTGAGTACCATAAGTTAAAAGTTTGCGTAAAGAATTCGCAAACTACTAGTATATGTCCTCAAGCAGCAGATTCCAATGATAATGTCAAGGCCATGTAATAAAGGTCAATTATTTTATATTTTTGAAGTTCATGGATATAATTTTTACTGCACGTTTGAGCATCTGGAAACATGCATGGTAATTTCATTGATGACATCGCATGTATCAGTTCATCTTCAAAATAGTAAGTATTTTGCTAACAGGCTTTATAATATGAATTAAAATGACGTAAATAAGCAGGGTGTTTAATATTTCATTTTGGCATTTTATTCTGATAGAAGAACAACATATAGAAGATACGAAAATCTGTGAAGTTTCCAGTTTTAGAACTTTTGATTCAGAATTAATTTTACGAAAAAAAAAAAATGCATTTCTTTGTTTATAATTGAATAATTTTCGAAATGATTTTTTTATATAAATAATTCTCAGCTATATGAATTTTCTTAGGGGCATAAAAAATCATGAATCGACAAAATAATGATAAGATAGCTTTGTCTGTATGCTCAATTCTTTTATAATTGTTATTTTCAGTTTTCGTGTGGATCAAATTGCCAACCTCGTAGAAAGCTGCTCTGGTTTGGCGAGGACAAGAATAAGGACAGTGATGGTGATGGTATTCCCGATCACCTAGACGATGACGATGACAACGATGGAGTCCCTGATAACAAAGACAATGACGACGATGGTGATGGCATAAGTGATGATAAAGAATACTGCGATAAGGACGGTTGTAAGAACTTGAAAGATTCCGACGGAGATGGAATTCCAGATCATCTTGACAATGACGATGATGGTGATGGCATTCCAGATGACAAAGAAAAAGATACCGATGGGGATGGAATTCCTGATTACTTAGATGACGATGATGATAATGACGGAATTCCTGATGATCAGGATGATGACGATGATGGTGATGGTATTCCGGACAAGAAAGAGGATTCAGATGGAGATGGCATTCCAGATCATTTGGATAAAGATGACGATGGTGATGGCATTCCAGATGACAAAGAGAAAGACACTGATGGAGATGGAATTCCTGATTATTTGGATGATGACGATGATAATGATGGAATTCCAGATTCCGAAGATGACGATGATGACGGAAATGGAATTCCCGACCACTTAGAAATTGACAGCGATTGGGATGGAATTCCTGAATACTTGGATGATGATGACGATAATGACGGAATTCCTGATCATTTAGACAAGGATGACGATGGAGATGGTGTCGCAGATGATAAAGAGAAAGATACCGATGGGGATGGAATTCCAGATTATCTTGATGACGATGACGACAACGACGGAATTCCAGATGTTGACGATGATGATAGTGATGGTGATGGCATACCTGATAAGCTTGAGGTTGACACAGATGGTGATGGAATTCCAGATTATCTTGATGATGATGACGACGGAGATGGGATTCCTGATGCTCAAGACAATGACGATGATGGTGATGGAATTTCGGATGACAAAGAGAAAGACACAGATGGCGATGGAATACCAGATTATTTGGACGATGATGATGATGGAGATGGAATTCCAGATAGTGAAGATAATGATGATGACGGTGATGGAATTCCCGACAACAAAGAGAAAGACAGAGACGGTGACGGAATTCCTGACCATTTAGATGATGACGATGATGGCGATGGAATTCCAGATGATAAAGAGAAAGACACTGATGGGGACGGTATTCCAGATTATCTTGACGATGATGATGATGGTGACGGAATACCTGATCATCTTGATAAGGATGACGATGGTGATGGAATCCCAGATGATAAAGAGGATTCAGATAATGATGGTATTCCAGATAATCTTGATAATGACGACGATGGAGATGGGGTTCCAGACGATAGAGAAAAAGATACCGACGGAGATGGAATTCCAGATTATCTAGATGACGACGACGACGGTGATGGAATTCCAGATGATAAAGATAACGATGACGATGGTGATGGAGTTGCCGACAATAAGGAAGACTCAGATGGTGATGGTATTCCAGATCACCTCGATAATGATGATGATGGTGACGGAATTCCTGATGACAAGGAAAAGGATACTGATGGGGATGGGATTCCAGATTATCTAGATGATGATGATGACGGTGATGGAATTCCTGACGATAAGGATAAGGATGATGATGGTGATGGAATTTTAGATGATCAGGAAGATTCGGATGGTGATGGAACCCCCGACCACTTGGACAATGATGATGATGGAGATGGAATTCCAAATGATAAAGAAAAAGACACAGACGGTGATGGAATACCAGATTATCTAGATGATGATGACGATAATGACGGAATTCCAGATTCTGAAGATGAAGATGCAGATGGTAATGGTATACCAGACTACAAAGAAAAAGATACGGATGGAGACGGCATCCCTGATTATTTAGATGATGATGACGACAATGATGGCATTCCGGATCATCTTGATAATGATGATGACGGCGATGGAGTCTCTGATGACAAAGAAAAAGATACAGATGGTGATGGAATCCCAGATTATCTTGATGACGATGATGACAATGATGGTATTCCAGATGATAAAGATAATGATGATGATGGTGACGGAATTCCAGATAATCAAGAAGATTCAGATGGTGATGGAATACCCGACAGTCTTGATAAAGATGATGATGGAGATGGCATTCCTGACGAAAAAGAAATTGACACTGATGTTGATGGAATCCCTGATTATTTAGATGACGATGACGATAATGACGGGATTCCTGACGAATTAGACGATGATGATGACGGTGATGGTATCCCTGATGATCAGGAAAAAGACACTGACGGAGATGGTATTCCAGATTATTTAGATGATGATGACGATGATGATGGAATACCAGATGCTCAAGATAAAGATGATGATGGCGATGGTATTCCAGATGACAAAGAGAAAGACACTGACGGTGACGGCATTCCTGATTATCTCGACGACGATGACGATGGTGATGGTATTCCAGATGACCAGGATAAAGATGATGACAGGGATGGTATTCCAGATGATAAAGAAAAAGACACGGATGGAGATGGTATTCCTGATTACTTAGATAAAGATGATGATGGCGATGGTATTCCTGATGATAAAGAAAAGGACACGGATGGCGACGGTGTTCCAGATTATTTAGACAAAGATGATGATGGGGATGGAATTCCGGATAATCAAGAAAATGACGATGATGGAGATGGTATCCCCGATGACAAGGAAAAGGACTCTGATGGAGATGGAATTCCAGATTATTTAGATGACGATGATGATAATGACGGAATTCCAGATCACCTAGATAAGGATGATGACAATGACGGGATCCCGGATGACAAAGAGTTGGACACAGACGGTGATGGAATCCCAGATTATCTGGACGATGATGATGATAATGATGGAATTCCTGACAGTCAGGATACTGATGCCAATGGAAATGGTATTCCAGATTTTATGGAAAAAGACACAGATGGTGATGGCATTCCAGATTATCTAGACGATGACGATGACAACGATGGTATTCCAGACGATGAGGATGACGACGATGATGGTGATGGTATTCCTGATGATCAAGAGGATGCCGACAATGATGGAATTCCAGACCACTTGGACACAGATAGTGATGGTGATGGGGTTATAGACAAACTTCCAGATCTAGATGGTGACGGAATTCCTGATAAATTTGATAAAGATGATGATGGCGATGGAATTCCAGACGTTCGAGAAGGCAAGAAAATTATTCCTTCGAAAATTTCTAAATCTAATAATCCAAAATCTAAAACTAAAAATGACGATGAAGACGACGATGATGATGATGACGAAAACGATAGTCAAAAATCTTTATTTTCTAGAATTGTGACCTCTGTTAAAGAAATGGTTTTTCCAAGTGGTGATTCATCGGAGGATAAGTCTAAAAATCTCAAGAAAAATCCCAATCCAGCAAGAATCAAAAATAAGGGAAAACAGTTAAAAGGACATGAAGAAGAAATTGATCTCGTAGACTTGGTAACAAGTGCTTTTTCTAGTGAAGACGACAAGACCAACAAAAAAGGGAAGAATAAACAGAGGAAACCTACATGAATAGTTTCAACAAGTTTGTTTACTTACAATTCTCATGAAAATTAGAGAAAAGGGGTATGTTCTTATGATAATAATAAGTTTCAACATTGTTTTGTCTTTTACTATTCTTAATTAGCATCATAATTTTATCTATATTCAAAAACAAAGAAAAGTGATATCGAAAAATAATTACGAAAAGAGTTTATGGATTTTTTTTTCTAGTGTTGGTTTGTTTTCCATTATAAACTATATACCTAATTTTCTTTTTTAAGTGTTTTGCATTTTTTTAAAGACGTTTAAACAAAAACTTTTAAAAAAAATATATAACATTTGCACCTTCATTAAACATTCCCCTTAGGTTTCAACGAATCTTTCAAACACTTTGTTTTATTTCTATTGCTGGGCTGAATATTTTACTTATGATTATATTAAATGGTTTCACTCCTTAATTGTTTTGTTGTCAACATTTTTTTACTTTAAAGAATCTTATGGGCATTAGTTTTAAAATACTTATAAATTGTATAATATAAATATATTTCTAAAAATGATATCTTTTGTAAGCAATTTTTTTTTTCAATCAATAATATTAAGGATGTGTATGTGCAGGCAGGATGATTGAAATTTATATGATGGTAAGTTTATTTTACATGTTGTCCGTTTTTGTAAAGTGAGAGAATTTATTTCTTATTATTTTAAATATTTGTATATGTATTAATAAGATTATTTATTTTTTAAATCGTATTATACAATCTGAAAAGTTAAATTAAGTTGAAATGAAATTAGTTTTACACCACGTATTTTCGCTATTTGTATACTTTATTTTAATTGTATGGCATTAATGTGAAAATAATAGTAATTCCAGTGTTTATTTTCTCCAAAACACCTGATGTAACAGCTGGCTCTGTTGACCACAATAAAAACTTATTTTCTCCTATATAATATAACGAAAGGTTTTTTTCATTAAAAATTTTTTGTACACAAAAACAATACTAATTGTTCTGACTACTGGTGTTATTACATACTGTATAAGTGAAAAAAAAAAAACTCATTGTACATGTATTGTATTTGAAAGATTTATTTATGTGTGTGTTATATAGTACACAATTAATACTGACTTTGCAATAGAATTGAATTTTTAAGTGTTTGTTCGAAAATTGTAAGTATTTGGTGCCATAACTATTTTTCTTCCTATTGTTAATTGCAGGAATATCGCCCGGCTTTACTATTCAGTTAAAAAGTATGAACTACACTTTACATGGCTAAAAATATTCCAAGAAACTCAAATTTTGAAATTTAGGTTTGAATCAATTCATGATCACTCTTGTATTTTTTATTCTTTTAAACAAAAAATATTTTAACTAATTTAACAAAACAGGTCCACTTCATTATTATTCATTTTTTTTTAATTTACGTGACTCAATGTCTTTGTTGTCAGAAAAACAGAAAGTCAATTGAATTTTATATAATTTGATATATATTTTTTATGAAAATGGAAATCTTTCAACCTAATTTTGAAAAGGACTTTAAAAAATTTAATGCCAAGCGACTTTCAAATTCCACAAAACTTCATCAAAACATGTGTTGTGTGAATGTGTGTACACTTAGAATATTTTGTTTGTAAGATTCTGACCTCATTAATAAAATACTCTGAATCATATTCTTTGTATTGTGTTCTTGATAATACATGTAAGACAATTATGTGTCTGGTCGTTTCAGAAATTAGCTTATCTTTTCTTTCGCTAGCTTTCCCGATTACTATGCTTTGGGGTTATTCATTAATTTAAGATTTTATTACTGTATCGTGTTTTGGCTGACATGTTTTATACCAATGCTAAGGCCTTTGTATTTACTGAATTTAAAATACAGCACTGAAGGTTCCCACTACCTGATCCATACAAAGGTGACCGGTCAAAGGGGCATCTTTACTCTTCCTAGGCACCTTATTCCACCAGGAGAATTCCAGGGGTCGGTGTTTTATTTTTTCTTTTATATTTGTATTGTTTATTGCATTGCATTGCAGGCATGCTGTACGCTTTGTTCCCCAATCCCTTTGACTTTTTATTTTCAAAGTTTCAGATACCATTTACATGATATTATGTTTTAATGTAAAGCTCTCGTTCTGATCTTTGCAATGCAAAATTTTGGTGGACAAACTGGAAAAAAAAACAGAATCGGTTTTTAAAAAGACCAAGATTTAATTCTTGTTATGACTTAATGCATGAAATCATTTTAAAATATCTAAGGTAAAGTTAAACAAGATGTTGTAATACATGTAATTTTAAACAAAATCTCTGATATTGAAATATTTTACAGTCAACTGAAGTTTTTGGTCTTTCATAGCCCTACGTTCTGCTGTAAAACGGAGCCCAGGCTAAGAGACAAACATGTTGACAGACAGAATAAAGTTAGAAAAGCTTGAATTATTGATCAAGTTTGCATTTTTACACTGGTACCATCAAAATAAGTTTTTTTTTCTGTGTTTTACAAAGTAATTGTCTGTAGTTTCATAATATAAACAACTAAGTGAATGTGGAATTATATGTCATCAGTAATCATTTGTAATTTCTATGGTCGATACGATGATCTTGTTAGAAATATTATTACAATCTATGATTAGTCAAATATTGACAGTGTTTTTCATCCTTAGTCTTAGACTAGTTGTTAGGCAATAACTTTCACACCTAAAGCTGAAAACGACTTGTAATAAGACTAAATGCTATATTTTTTCGATCTCCCGCTATATCTGCTGGACCCTAGAACAAGAACCGGTCACTTAGACACTTTTCAGTATTATGAATTGTTACCGTTGTACATGGACGTATGTTAACTATACCAGGGACCTATTTTATGTTACTTATCCAGACTCGGTGCTATACAAATTTCTTTTCATTTTTGGATATGTTACTCAACATACAGGTCCCTGGTTATACAATACTAAGTAGTGACAAAATATTAACTGTGTACTTTCTCCAATGTAGGAAGGTAAGATACCAAGAACACTTCACAGGTCATTGCAGTATTCAAACAAATATGCATTACTGCAATAAAATGTAAACAAAGGTGTTCCAAGATAACCAGCACGAATACGGGTCGCCATTCTACGCCGATATCTATGACACGCCAAATTCACAAAAATGAGCAAAGCATATAGTTTCCCAGTTGATAGTTTACAGAGCGTAAACTATAGTTTACAACGTTAATCTATTTTTTACATCTGTAAACCATAGGTAACGCGATAATCTGTTTCAGAACCGTAAACTATACTTAACACTGTTTTATTTGCGATTGAAAAACACAGATTATCTGATAAATACAGTTTCACGATTTGTAAACTATGGTTTATAACTCTTAGCTATGGTTAACAATCTGATAAAAATAGTTTTACGATTTGTAAAACTATGATTAACAACTCTTAACTATAGTTCACGATTGTAAATTATGGTTTACAGACGTGAATCTATGTTTATCAACAAAATCAATTGTTAACGTTTTATTACAGACAGATACACTTAAGTTAGCATTCGTAAACTATAGTTAACGTCCGTTAAATATAGTTTTGCAAATAGTTAACAAATTGTTTACTATAGTTTACGGTTTGTTTACAGTCGATAAACTTAGTTTATCAACTGTGAAACTATGTTTAATTCATTTTTGTGAATTTGGCTTGCCATAGACATCCGTGAGTAGTCAGGTGTAACGAATGTGATGCATATATCCCGATGCCCATAGCTGATATCGTAAATAGTATTGGATTAAAAATGGCGTTGACCTATTTACGAGTCGTGTTCAGTTTTTATTGTCGACGTATTTTCCGATATTTCCTGATCTCGATAAGGAGTATACTGAGCGAGCGTGACCGAACGGCAGGGGATGTTCACTACTCCATGGCACCGTATCCCATCTCTGATGTTTGAGAGGCCAAATTTTGTTCTGTTCCTGATTTGTATTTTTAATAGACTTGACTTGAGCTTGAATACAGTTCCTTATCTCTTTCCATTTATTAAAAAAAATTCCACATTTAGACACTTACATTTAAAAATACCATTTAAGATGAAAAAAAAAACCCACACGTCTTGCAAATGAGTTTATGCGAACCATATCTATAGATATTCAAAATGAAATGCTGAAAAGTTTAAATCCCAGAGATAAACGCTCAGTACGATTTAAACATTCAGTGAACTTGAATAGATTTGTCACGTTGTATTTTGTATCGCTTTATCAGGTTTTAACAAGGAAGTAATGTTTACAGCGAAATAAAACGGGAGAGTCAGGTAGGACGGTTGATTGTATACTTAAATTTTATTTTTATAGAATATATGAAATTTACTCTGACAATTTTGATTTCTCTACATTAGAATCTACAATGTATGTAACCTAACTGAAAATAACATGCACATAATTTTTCTTCTTTACCCATTTCATGCAAATTCTTCAAACATTTCAACGAAGGGCCTTCTTGAACTTTCGTTATCGTTGTCTTTTTCTGTCTGTAAACTGTCACTCATTTATATACAGGCATGTACCTGTGTATGACTATTTTTTTTTCAACTTTGCCTTGGTAGAAATAGGTGTCTATCTTAAAAAATAATGTTAACGTTTATTCAACTAGAGGACAATGAAACCTTCATGTAATAATATAATTCTAACCCTTGTCCATAGTCAGACAAGGTAGAGGTTTTAAATCCATTATTTATAGGAAATGAGTTTCTCTCTCTCTCTCTCTCCGTCCGAAACCAACAAATGCCGGTGTATTCTTTAATTAAAAATAGTAACAACAAAATTAACAAATATTACACACTGTCTATGTCGATATTTTACACTGTTGTCGTCCATTCTGAAGAAAAAAGAAAATGTCCGTCTAAACACATAACGTCGCTGGGGACAATGTTATATACGAATATTCATTTCGCATTTGCAGAGAATCTTTCGACGAATCTCAAAGAAAATACAGACTGACAGACACGAATAATAATGAGCTTGCAGTAACCAGTCAGGGGTTGGCCACGGGCTCCTATGAGCTCCTATGATTTTAGAGTTCTTTAATTGACTTATTTAAACAATATATAGTTTAACCAAAAAAAAAACATGCAATATCCTTCAATAAAAATAATCTTAGGAAGACTTTGGTCTCAATAAAGGAAGTTAAATTCGCTTTCTGCGTGAAAAAAGGATCCAAGGGAAGTGCCGTCTTGCGGCGTAAATGAATTATTAGGGCCTAAAATTCAAGTTTAGATTTGCACAAATACAAATGCAACTTGCAATAAAATGTAAACAAAGATTATACAAGTTACCAGTAAGTAGTGTTCAGCTTTTAAGTGTGTCAGTATGCTTTACGAAAATAGGTTTAAACTTTAAGTTTCAACAAGGAAGATATGCTTAATACTGAAAAGGAAGTGATTAATTTAGTCAACAATGCACACAAGAGAAATCAAGTAAGATAGCTTAATTATTGTTTAATGAAATGTTATCTATCTCCAGATGATTATAAATAAAAAAACATTATTTTTCTAATTTTTATTCATATTTCATGTTATAAATTTGCAAGATTTGATCACAGACAGAGCACAAATAGTTATTTTTTTTAATCAGATGCGAGATAAAACATTCCCATACAAAAATCCTTGACTTTTCCCGACGTCAAATGAAATTCACAATTTTGAAAAAAAGCACCATTGTTTATCATAATTTTACACAAGTTAGCATGCTTATTTTAGTTGATTAATAACCAGCGATAGATTCCCCCCCCCCCCCCCCTGATACAGGGACCCTGAAATAAACCATTTTTAAAAGAGGCGCCTTTCTTCATCATAAATAAATACTTCTAATAGGTCATTGGCATGATTTCCAGGAGCAAAAGAAAAGATTGTCAAAGAATCAATTTCTTTTTCATTGTATAATTATTACCCTCCCTCACACAAGAACTGCTAGTATATAGATACTGACCCAGGAGCCCTGAAATTCACAAAAAGGGAAGAAGCATCGTTCCTCATGATCATCAAAAAGAAATTGTGTCATACGTTTTTGACGTAAGCAACCTGTTTTTTTACAGACGACTTTCACATTCTCAAAAGTTATTCCCCTTTGCGGGGTCAATCCGCGGTTAACCGGCGTAAAACATTTTCCGTTTATAACCTTATTTACCAATATTAACTTTGTTGGTCAGTATCTCAGAAATAAAATCTGTATGAATATGTTTATAACGTTTTTCATGTTGCCCGATATTCTGGCAATACAGGTACGGATCGAAATTGTCCGATAACGTTTGAAGATTAATAGGTAACCTAAAAAGGAAAAAAAAGAGAGTTACGCCGATAACGGGGGATAACTCTTAAGAAATGTGAAATTCGCGTCTAAATAGCGTTATATAATTATAGAAACAGCAAATGTAAATACACATCAGGATACATATAAGCTAGCAGAGTAAATTTGGAACATTTCGAAATTTTGTCTATATGTCGGAATATGGGAAGCGTTTGGTAATTGCATGGACCCTGAGGTCCAGTGCCGTGGGCAAACGTCAGGCTACACGCATGCCCGAGAATGCTATAGAGTTTGCCCCTAAGACAACATGCCGTAGATTTATTGATTGATTGTATATTGTTTAACGTCCCTCTCGAGAATTTTTCACTCATATTAAGACGTCACCGTATTCCGGTG